AGAGATATTCTTACTAGTTTAAACTCTCTCGTGGACATGACCATTCAAAGTACCAGTAAGATATAAACTAATAATATAGGCATCAAATATTAAGTGTTTCTGCCCAACAGGAATCTGGCAGCTTAGCATATATATAACCGTTTCAACTAGAATTATGTTCATCCTCTCTGCCAAACCATTTAGATGAGGAGTCGTTGGAGAAATTTCCTGATGTCGAATACCCTATTCTTTGCAATATCTATTAAAAGGATCAATACACTCACCATCATTGCCATAAAGGATGCATTTTAATTTCTTCAAGAGGAACCCATCGGTAGCACCTTAAACTTGATACTAACTTTCATTTAAACACCTTAAATAGATATTGTTCATTTTGAACACCTATAGTAGGTTTTTATTGTGTCATTTGGACACTTTTCGCTGACTCACCACTATACGTGTCCTACACGAATATTGAGCGCGTTTGAAAGGTTTTTTTAAGAAGCTTTTTTTCGTCTTCTTCCTCACTTTTCTCTCTCCTTCCACCATCCTCTTGAATTTATTTATTTCTCGTTCTTCTTTCTCATGCTCTATCTTCCACTTTTCACCATCATACAAAAAAAATTTAGGTTAGTATACTTGATTTAATCCTCATTCTTCAGAATCAATTTTTTTTATTTTGTGATCTCACATTTATTTTTCATCCATAGTTTCTTGTTAGATGATAATCACTTATCACCAATCGTTTCCACTTAAGTGTGCATGTCTATTGAACATCAAAACAAAAAAATGATTATAGTTTTGAAATAGAAGCATTTCCCTAAAATTTTACTTTTCATATCGTTTCAATCTCAATCAAATTTTTTTCTGCCCATAATGTTCGTATATTCACTAGAAAATGAAATAAATAATTATGTTAAGTTACAAATCAGATAATTAATATTCAAATTTATAATTAATATTCTTAGCAATTACAATGAAAATGAATGTTTCAAGGGCGATAAATTTTTAGTTGTGTCTTTCTTTGCACTATATTGATTTGTGAGAAGAAAAAATACAATTTGTACTTTTCCCCTGTTCTTGGTGGAGTTTTAGAAGAAAAAGGCATGTAAAGAAAATGAAGAAAAGGGTGGGGGCCGGGTTAGATATACGGAGAAAAAACAAAGAAAATGAAATTTTTAAAAAATAAAATAAATCCACGTGTCACATGTAGATTTGTTTATAGGTTTCAGGGTTTAGGGTTTAGGGTGTAGGGTTTAGGGTTTCTCCACGTAAAAAGTGTTTGTCCAACGCGCCTAAGCTAAATCTGAAAATATAAAAGATGTGTCAAAATGACACAATCAAAACCTACTTTAGGTATTTAAAATGAATAAGGCTTACTTGAAGTGTCTAAGTGAAAATTAGTGCCAAGTTTAAACGGCTACCGATGGGTTCAGCCTTACTTCCATGTATGTCTCTCAACCATGGCATGAAAATTCTTGAACACATAAAGTACTTAATGGTTGGATTTCAAAGAAAAAACCTAGAGTTTGCGAGAATGATCTTCAATAAAGTCACAAAGTAAAGTGCATCATCATGAGACTTAAACTTAAAAGGACCATAAAAATTAGAGCATACGAATCAATTCCAGCATATCAAGCTTTCTTGAAAGTGGATGACTTTGAAACGAAACTCTTTTCTATTTATCGGATAAGTAATTGACATATTTCTTCAACTTTGTTTGTTTCATCCCGAAAATAAATTCTTCTTAGCCAAATTGTCAATACCCTTCTCACTCATATGACTCAACCTTTTATGTCATAACTCTGAAGAAGTATCATTCCCCGCTAAATTTACTAAGCCTCTAGAAATGGAGCCCTAAAATACATACAAGTTAGATAATTTTTCACCACGAGTCATAACCATCAAACCTCTAGTAAACTTCCACTGGCCAACACTAAAGGTATTAACATAACCCTTATGATCAACGTATCCCACAAAAATCAAATTCAAGCGAACATTGGAGTGTGCTTGACATTATGAGAATTAGTTTGAAACCATTGTTACATTTCAAATAAATTGTCCCAATGGAAAGAATTGCAACCTCATGATTATTTCCCATTTTCAGGATCCCAAATTACCTAAGAGTATAAGAAGAAAATGATTCCTTCTTTGGCGGGACATAAAAAGTAGCATCATAACCACAAATCAGCTAGACTCATCATGAACAAGATTAACAACATTTTCATCAGAAGAAACAAAAAGATTAGTAACAACATCAGCACGAATCATTATTGTCATCTTCATTTCTTGTTTCATATTTCTCTTGTATATGTAGCAATATTTCTTGATATGCTCATTCTTGTGGCAATAGTCACATGTAATATTCTTGAATTTAGACTTTAACTTGCATCTACTTTTATCTTTGTCATTCTAACCTCTGAACTTGCTTCTCCCACTATCTCAAGTAACCAAAACATCATATTGTGAAAGTGAAGATGAGCCTAGAGATCTTCTTCTCATATCTTCATTTAAAACACCACTCAAGGCATATTTCAAAGCTACAACACCACTAGAGTAAAATTACTTAATGAAACTCGAATTCAAGTTTCAAAAGAGTTTGGTACAGTATTAAGAAGTCAAAGTCCTTGTCCTTGCATCCCTTCATCAAATATTACATTCATTCAGACAACTGGTCAAAAACACCCTAAAAATTACTAATATGATCAGAAATACAATTGACCTCTTTATACCTAATGTATATCAATCGTTTCATTAGAAACAACTTATTGTTACAAGTCTTCGAAGCATAAAGTGTCTCCACCTTGTCCCACCAACATCTGACATGTGTATCATTCACCATGTTAGAAACACATTGTGATTTCTAACATTGTCTTCAACTCATTCTCTTATATAGCCACAAACCTGCAAGTGCTCAAATTTCCATACCACGTCTGTCATAAACTAAGGTTTATTAGAAACAAACACACGTAAATGCATCTCCTTGATAAATAGAAGATCTTTCATCTTGTATTTACTAGTGTGATAATTAATATCATTCAAACACACCGTGTTACTTAATATTTGATTCCATCATTCAAATAGACAATCAACAACAATCTTATGCTCTCATACCACTTTGTTGGGAAAGGCAAGCACAAACAAATGTATATTATAGGGAAATAGTGGAAGAATCTAATCTAAACCTTGTCAATCTATTTGAACCGAGAGAAGACAAACTAATGCAAAAACAAATACTGTTTGGGAAGCAAACAAATCAACCAAAGAAACAAGAAAAAGTAAAATCAACACATGATACACCAAATTTAATGTGAAAAACCTCTTCGGGATGAAGAGTAAAAACTACAAGACTAAAGCTCCATATAATTAAAAAAATAGTACAAAAGTGTTCTATAAAATGGTCACCAATAAAGTGTCAAACAAATGAGCAGCACAACTACAAGATAACACCAAAACTAGACAAATCAAAAGAGTAAAATCACCAAAACAAAATAATTATTCACGAGCTAAAATTTAAAGCTACAGGACCCCAATGCTTCCTCTCTCAGTTCTCAATCAAAGATCTTAAGTTGTTCAAAAATCAACTCAAATGGACAAGGAACGAAGCGAAAACCACAATTTGAAATTAGTTGTTATAAATTGTGCTAAAACTTGCACTTTCTCACTTTTCTCTTTATATGGTTGTTGATCAATTTCTTGTGAAACTTGAAAATAAGGTCTAAAAAAGTCTTACAAATGCACCAAAATATTAGGTTTATGGACAAAACTGGGTTAGTCCAAATTGACCTTTTATTAGGGAGCGAAAAAGACCCAAAACCCAACAATAGAATGGGGTGGATGCTGGGCAAACCTGCAAAGACTTTATCTTGTCCAGCATAGCATAATTTTTTAATTTTGCTTCGCCTTGCCTACCCCGCATATTTTATTTACTATTTTTTTATTATATAATATATCTATTCATTAACTGAACTAAACTTTTAAATCCTCTTCCATCTTTGACTTTGGTTTTATTATACATAGATTTGATTAAATGTGTGTTATTTATACAAGAGTCATTACAGTTTGTAGAACTAGGGCGGATTGAGATTAAAGAAGGTAAAGAGAAAAAAATCAGAAATATGATAAGAATGTATTTAGGATTTAAGTTTGACTAATTTTCAAATAATTTAACGGCTAAAACAGAAGGAAAGAAGTCTGTATATGATGGATGCTATTTGAGTTGCTTCTATTTTAGAATAAAAATATATAGTTTATAAAATGAGGATCAGTGACGATATGGCAAGGGTCGGTTCCCAGGAATATGACATACATAGCATTAGTAGTGGACATAAAAGACTTGTATGAATGAATTTAGGAATGAATATTGCATAGAAGGAATATTGCATAATTGAGTTTAGTAGTGCACTTAAGTCATGCGTCTCTTGGCTATTTGCTGAAGAATCCTACCAACCCTCCATCGAATACTATTCGCCATTGTTTTGTTTGATTTCTATTTTGGAAAATAAAATGATGGGTTATCTTCTTGTCATTTACGAAAGAGAACAATAGGAGTTTTTTTCTCCAAAATGAAGATGTTGCCGACTCCACAAGCCAGCACCAAATGTGGCAGAATCACTGGAGAAGCCTGTTATATACGTTCTCCGCCTCTAACAAAGACAAATACACAACCACCTACCATCAAAATGCATCTAATTCTAACAAAACTCATAACAGGCAAGAAAATCACTACTTCCCTTTTGCTCACAACAAAAACATTATAAAATGTCATGCCTATCAATTAAGAAGTCTGTATGAGGGCAAATCCTCCAACCGTTTTATGTTTTCTTCCAAAAGTTCCCTTTCAATTTGTCGACGAGTGGACTTCATAACTGTCTGCATCAAATGTAACACATCTAACATCAGAAATATAGGGCACTTGGTTTACATGGAACAATAATTTCTGAAAATATACTTTTCAAGATAACATCACTCTTGTATCATGCCAATCATCCATAGCATATGAACAACTTCTCAACAAAACATTAACTGAAAAAAAGGAACTACATACTGAGAAACTATTTGAGTACAGATAAAATACAAAGTGGTACAACCCAACAACTGTATGGATTTTTGCTAGCTTTTGGTGCAACATATGGGTAAAGCCAACTTGTTAGAGGCCGAAGCCATGATTAAATTATCCAAATCTTTTGGATGCAGTGTCTGTATGCTGCCTTACCTCAATAATACCTTTTATCTAACCTATAAAACTATGAAATATTCCACAAGCAATTCTAAACCCATAGCTTCAAGCTACTAGCACCGAGGGAAACTAATTCCTACACCATGTGGCCAAACTGAAACTTTGAAGCAAGCAGCATATAAAGTGGAAAAAGCATGGGAACTTCTGGTTGTTACGACTGCCGTAGCCAAACTGAAATTTTTAGCCAGCTTATAAAGTGGAAAAGGCATGGGAACTTCTAGAGAGCATATGAACTGGATTTGATATGAGAAGAACTGAATTAGGAACAAATGTTTCATTCCTTAACTCAATCTCACTAATTTAAAAGTACACACAACTTCATAAAAACTTAAATGCACATACATTGAAGTCCATATATGACGCGTGCATGGCGAGCCACTGATAATCCATCAGCTTAAATGTGATACAATATAGCAGATCAAATGCTGATTCGTTTTCTGTACAAAGGTGAAAGACATGCTTAGATGCTTTAGGAAAAAATGTCAATGCAGAAGCACTGAGTGGTCTAGCAATTTACCTGCAAGAAACTTCAAAAAAGTTGCTCCCACAAGATTTCTTGGTTTTACTGCAGAGTAGACACATAATAGCTAAATGAATCAACACAAGATCTCCTAGACTTATTTGTCTCTTTACATTTCGCTGTAAACAAGCGCATAGAAGGAACACATACTAGCTTCTATATCAAGTATCTGGATTAACATAAATGTGATGTTGACACCAGCAACAGCAAATGGGTATTCCCATAATGCCCTATCACCTTCCTGCTTTTGAAGAAGATCCTGGAATGATTTCTGCAAATAAAATTAGGGAAACGATCTTATCAAAATAAATTAGGAAGAAGAAGGGACGAATTATGAACCTAGCACATTACTGCTTTGAATTTGGCTATACATAGAAGGGATGTTCGTAATAATGTGTACACTTCAGTATATAGTTTTGCAGATTTATTTTATACTTCTTTAACAAAATAAGAGCAAGGAAATTGTTTGATTTATCAGTCTAAACATTACATGCTCCGGATACAACTCTTCACTAGAATGACTTGCTATGTGCAAGCTCAAAATTAGGATTTTGAATTACGTCAAAGTACACTACAAGACACAGCTATTTTTATTCTTTCTAGACCATATTTTAAACAAGAAAGCCTCCTTTCTGTCTTGTGGTAAAAGTTCAGAGCATGAAATGTTGAATCTCCTACGCAGTGTCACCCAAGAGTGAACTATTTCAACCTATGTTACTCGGACTCTCCAAAAATGACGTCGCATCCAAGTCGGATCATTCAAAAATGCACTACTCTTTGGAGGATTCAATAGTCATCCACTAAAAGAAAAGCAACTTAGACACTTAACAAAAAAAGTTTACACTTCTGCGCCAAAGGTAGATAACTTATGTAACTCCTAGTTCAGGCCAGAAGTTGAGCAGTTCAGAATCTGCAGAATTTTGGAATTTATGAACATGGTTCATGGGTCGTAAAAGGAAGCACAGCTCGTAGCAACCATTCATAGATGAGACTCAGAAACAACAAATTAGGTCTGAGATTTACGAGCCAGGTTTACGGCTCGTAAACCCTTTTACCGGTCGTAGATACTGATTCTTAAACGCACTTTACGGCTCGTAGATTCTTTTATGGACCATAGATGGGTCTCGTAAAATCAAACTTCAGACAATCTAAGTGATTTCAACTGACAGGGTTCAACGGTTCATAGACCCACGGACCATAGATGCCCCTTGTATCGCCTTTCGGCAGTTTTTAATGGGGTCATTTTGGTCTTTTCCCATTCTTTTAATCCCTTTACTATGTTGTTTTGGACTATTCTAAGTCGGATTAAGGGATTCCTAGTGACCGTAACCTCTCATTCCCTCTTTAACTATCCAACATCAATATTTTTCCTCTCAAGTCTTCTCTCAAGCAAGATTTACCAAGCTTCAAGTCTCCATTCTAAGAAGGGCAACTTTCACATATACCAGACAAAGAATTTAAATTTGTATGCTATAGCAAAGTTTACATAATTGCGCTCTATAGTGTGTGTGTATATATATATATATATAATTCGCTATACATATACAACTAAAGTTATGCCTATTTCACTATACGTATATACAAAAGAAGCAATTGTATAATTTGTTGGCTCCTCTTCAGATTGGTATAATTTCGTTGGCAGGCCATTTGTATAAATTGTTGTTAGCCTCTCAATTCAATTGTGTGTTTGTATATCTGTATAAAATTTGAATTTGAATTAAATTGTATAAAACGAGAAAGAGATAAATTATATACAATTTGAATTTGTATAAAACGAGAAAGGGATAAATTATATACAATTTGAATTTGTATAAAACGAGAAAGAGAAAAGGACAAAAGAGACTTGGGCTAGGAATATACAATTGAATCAAATTGTATAACATGAAAGAGAGAAATTATATACAATTTGAATTAGTATAAAATGAGAAAAGAGATAAAGGCAAAGGAGACTTGGGCAGGGAAATATTTGTATTGTATAATTATAAGTGTATAGAATGAAGATATATGTATTTGCATGTGTATATACAATTTTCTCTCGCTTTATACAAACAGAAACATAATTAATACATTTCTATTGTATAAAGCGAGAGAGGAGAGCAACAATGAGTGAGCGAGAGAGGGAGAGTGGCGAGCGAGAAATGAGGGAGAGAGGTGACTAGCAACAATTTGCAATGGAACACAAATAAATTAAACGATAGTTACTGTATTTCTTTTTACATTATTAGTTTGTCATCCTATACAATTTCCCTTCCAAGAATCAAGTCAATGTTTCTACTCCAATTATGTGGGATTTCATCAATAGTTATCCCTTCACACATTAAGTACCAAGAAAACCCCAACGCCTCAAGTTTATAATTTCTACAAAACCTAGGATCTCTAGGATCTTTATGGGTATCTTGATGAATTTCAATTCTTCATCATGATTAGCCTTTAATTGCATTATTTTAATTATGATCTCATGTTCTCAATGGTACTTTCATGAACCCATAATATACAAGTATTTTCATGATTTAGTGGGTGTTTTAGTGATATTTTCATGAACCCATATTATACAAGTATTTTTCATGATTTAGTGGGCGTCTAGATTGACTTATTTTTATTGTTTGTTTTTTTGCTTTTAAGCTATTTTTTCGAAAGCTGAAAAAGTACAAAAAAAAAGATGTGAAAAGTCAAAAATTGGGTGTTCCAACTTATGGCTTTTGATTTTTAACTTATAAGCCACTTTAAAAAAGCCAATCCAAACAGAAGCATGTTCAGTGTTCAAAGTCTATGGTAATGCATCCAGATATCCCCAGAGAAAGAACAATTATTAGTTAATGTTGTCGACATTTGGTCATTTCCTTAAAAAATGCTCTCGGCACTAATTTCGAGACAATTTTTGAGAAGTTCCTTCCGGACTTTGGTTGGCTTTTCCTATGGTGGACTTCTTCCACCGGAATACCACTCTTACTTCTGCCACCGGAATAAACCTCTTTCTTTCTCTCTTTTTTTACTCCGTTACGGTTCAGATGGATAACAAAGTTTATTTCAGATCTGGGGGAAGTCCTATGACAGCAGAAAGTCAAGATCAAAAGCTGAAGTATGGTATGATTGGGTTGAAAGTGCTAGGCATCACATGAGGAGAATGGTTCTTAGCAGGGGAGCACTTGGTTTGGTATGCATAAGGCTAAAGAGGTTTCAGAGACCAGAGGGAAAGCGTCCAAGTCATGAAGAATGCAGGGTTTACCCAACTAAATTCTTTATAGCTCTAAAATTCAATCAATATGGGAGATATCTATCATTAATTTCGGTTACAGGTAGCAACAGAGCAGTTATTATACTTCTAAAAAGCGCATTCAACGAAGGATGGGAGAAGTTAGCTAAGAAAATAGAGGCATTCATTAATAGGGGTACAAGAGAAACAAAAGCCTTTTAGACTATCGGGGGAGGCAAACTGTGCTGCTAACAAGGGGGCAAGGAGTTTTAAAGACTCTTTGCAGAAAAGTAAATGGACCAGAAATAAGACAGGTATAGCAGAAGGCAACATGTTGAAAGCTAGAGTCCAGTTGGAAGACAATGACCTGTTGGCCTGTTGTCTAGTGGGGAATTCTTTGGAGAAGACGATACACCCACTAGAAATTATGTAAGAAGATTGGCTCAATAGACTTGGAATGAAGCACATGGAGTCCGGGAGCGGAATGAGGCATGCTCAAGACTCAAAGTAAATTGGAGAAATAGCGGAATTTTCCAATTAAGGAGGTGCAACAGATTGGGGCTCTTGCAAGTATTTTGAAGTGCAATGTAGAGAAGCTCACAACAGTTTACTTGAGCATGCCTATAGGCTCCGAGCACAAAGCAGAAAAAAAATGGGATGGCATTATTTGAGAAAACAGAGAAGATATTAGTTATATGGAAATCCTAATACCTACCACTTTTTTTTTGGGGGGGGGGGGGGGTGGAGGGGGGGGGGAGTTGGGTTAGAGTTACACTAAATTAACTCAGTTCTATATTCTTTACCCACTTATGTTATGCTCCTCTTTCCTATTCCTAGTAGGATAGTGGAAGTTTTAGATGCACTTAAAAGAAACTTCCTATGGCAAGGGAAAAAGATGGAATAGGGAATCAATCTGGTTAAATGCCTATGGCAAGGGAAAAAGATAGAATAGGGAATCAATCTGGTTAAATGGACTGTAGTACAACAAAGCAGGAAAAATGGGGGACTGGGAGTGAGAAATTTAAAAATTCATAACAAGATCCTTCTTTCAAAATGGTTATGGAGATATAATCAGGAGGGGCAGACTCTATGGAAAGAGATAATAACTCACAAATTTGGGTAAGTAGACTTCTGGTGCACTAGTGAAATCAATGAAACTTATGGGGTTGGAGTGTGGAGGACCATCAAAAACTTTTGGGTGAGTCTCAAGAACAATTTACAGATAGTGGTGAGCAGAGAGGACAAAACAAAGTTCTGGTTGGATGATTGGTGTGGAAATGGGATTCTAAGGGACCTATTCCTTGGTCTTTTCTCAATATGCACAAATATTAATAACATGATAGAGTTGTGGTCACCAGAACGTTGGAATTTGGTATTTATAACGCTGCTAAATGAACGGGAGATTGATGGAGTGGTAGAGCTTTTGAGCTTGATTGGTGGATTCCCTGGTACTACTCTAGAGCCACACACATTAGCATGGGAAAATCACAAAGATGGGATATTTTTTTGTGAACAAACTATACAAGCTTGGTTGGTTGCTAGGAAAGATGTTCTGACTCATGAGGTAATGCAGAAGAGACGCATCAACATAGTATCCAGATGCCTCCATTGTAAAGAGGCTCTGGAGACTAATAAACATCTATTCATGCATTGTAAGGTAACTCACAGATCTGGTATCGGCTACATTTACAAGCATAGCCAAAGAACATTGGACTGTGCCAGAACATACTTCTAACCTCCTTAGCTGCTGGATCAAAAGGGGAGGCAGCAAGAGTCAAAAGATGTTGGAGAACAGTTCCAGCATGTATCTGGTGGATTATATGGAAAAAAGGAATCTGAGAATCTTTTAAGGCAAGGAGTGTATAATATAGAAGATCAAATGAGAAGTAATTACGACTCTAGACTTTTGGTGTAGAGAATAGGATATAAAAGAGGAGATCCAATTAGTGGGCTTCATAGGTTCTCTACAAGTGTTTCATTTAGCTTTTTTCTTTCTTGTAATAGTTTTTGGAGGTGGACAGCATAGCCCTTAGTACTGAGGGATACAAAAGCTACAAGTTTCAGAAAAAAAAAAGGCC